GCAGCAGCAGCAGCAGCAGCAGCAGCAGCAGCAGCAGCAGCAGCAGCAGCAGCAGCAGCAGTAGCAGTAGGGGCAGCAGCAGCAGCAAGAACAGCAGCAGCAACAGGCGCAGCAGCAGAAGGGTTTGGGGTTAGGGTTTATGTCTATACGCAGATGAAAAAAACGAGGACAGCCTGTGCAGCAGCAGCAGCAGCAACAGCTGCTGCTGCTGCTGCTGCTGCTAATTCTGCTTCTGCGAATGCTAATATCATTGCTGCTACTCATGCTGCTGCTGCTGCTGCTGCTGCTGCTGCTGTTGCTGCTGCTGCTGCTGCTGCTGCTGTCTTACTTAGAGGTTGCCGCATGCAGAGACAGCCAATGGCCCCGCCACTGCTCAACCCGTTGCTGCAGCAACACACCAGCAGCAGCAGCAGCAGCAGCAGCAGCAACGCAGGTACGAATAAAAACCTAAATAAATATAAAACCCTAATAAATAAAATATATAACCCTAAACTAAGTGGACGGAGAATATAAAAGATAAACAAAAAGAAAAAAATAAATAAAAAACAAGAAAGAGACAGAAACAACAAAAGCAGGGGAGAGAAGAATAACAAACACAGAGACAGGAGACACCACAAGCAGCAGCAGCAGCAACACAAGCAGCAGCAGCAGCAGCAACAGCAGCAACAGCAGCAACAGTACCAGCAGCAGCAACAACAGCAAAAAGAAGAACAAGAAAGAGACAACAGCAAGAGGAAGAGAGAGAAAGAAAAAACCAAAAAAAAAAAAAAAACAAAGAAAGAAACAAACAAAGAAATAAAGAAACAAACAAAGAAGGAAACAAAGAAAAAAAAAATAAAAATAAAAAAAAAAGGAGACAAAAAAAAAAGAAAGCGTACAGAGAGATAGGAGTTTATTGCTGCTTTTGTATAACAAAAAGAAAGGAGACAGTTTTGTTTTTTTTTTGTCTCTTTTCTTTTTTTCTCTATTTCTCTCATCACAAACAAATGCATCTCGTCGGCCCGCTGCTGCAGCTGCTGCGCTGCAACTGCTGCAGCTACTTCAGCTGTACGCACACAGACACAGCAGCAGCAGCAGCAGCAGCAGCAGCAGCAGCAGCAGCAGCAGCAGCAACATATATTGCAGCAAACCCCACACGAGGAGACAAAACACAGAAAAGAGAGACAGAGGATACACAAGCCAGCAGCTCCGCTGCTGCTGCTGCAGCAGTAGCAGCAACAACAGCAGCAGCAGCACCACCACCATCACCACCCTCAGCAACAGCAACAGAAGCAGCAGCACCACCACCATCACCACCACAACCATCACCACCACCACCATCAGCAGCAGCAGCGGCAACAGCAACAGCAGCAGCAGCAACAGCAACAGCAGCAGCAGCAGCAGCAGCCACAGCAGCAGCAGCAGCAGCAGCAGCAGCAGCAGGCTGCATGCATACCCAGGGTGCTGAGGGCCTGCGCCTTTCTATCTGATATTTGTTTCGTTTGCTGCAGCTCCAGCAGCGACAAACGCCACGCGTCAACAGCAGCAGCAAGCACCTAAAAAGAAAAAAAAAAACAAAAAAATATACACAATACAGACAGCAACAGCAGCAGCAGCAACAGCAGCAGCAGCAACAGCAGCAGCAGCAACAGCAGCAGCAATCGCACAAGCAGCAGCAGCAGCACACGCAGTAGAAGCAGCACTAGAAGCAGCAGCAGCAGCAGAAAATGACGGCAACAGCAGCAGCAGCAGCAGCAAATAGCAGCACCAACAGCAGCAGCAGCAAACAACAGCAGCAGCAACAGCTGAAGCAACACAAGCAGCAGCACACAGCAGCAGCAGCAGCAGCAGCAGCAGCAGACACAACAGCAGCACACGTACACCCTACCTGCAACAGAAACTCTGCTGCTGCTGCTACAGCTGCACCAGCAGCAGCAACAGCATCCGCTCCTGCTTCTGTTGCTTCTGCTGCTTTTGCTGCTGCTGCTGAGGGTGGTGCTGCTGCTGCTGCTGCTTCTCTACGCA